AAGATCTTGAAGACCATCTCACAAGACACCATAAGTATTCTCCTACGTTTGCCTTAGTAATCAGTAGGAAAATATGCTCTCCTCGGTATCTTATGTTTGTTTGGGCATGTGCACTGGTATATGTGTAATTGGCGGGGGTATAAATTTGGGCAGACAGGTTTTGCCTTTCATTTTATTTGTGCTATTCCAGCGTTCATGTTATTTTGACGTTTTATTGTGTGTGTGTGTTCTTTCTGCTTTTATTTTGCGGCTGTTTTCAGTTTAACCATGTGGTCAGATCTTCGGGCTGCTGTTCCCCAAAGATCTGGTGTTTTGCACTACCTTGCAAGTTCTCACCCGGATGTTGTGTTGGCCAGTAGAGCACCTAGTACTTCATCCAGGTATTTCTCTTCTTACAACAGATAGAAGTCTTAGGCCCGAGAACATGGCATGACACCTTTTCCTGTCTATGCTCCCAATCTACTCTACTAATGTTCCCAATCTACTTTACTTGGCTGCTTATATCACCCACCTAAAGATACCACCTTTTTGAACTGTATGTATGATCTGCTTAAATGAAGAAAATTCCTTAGTTGTTAAGTGCTCTAATAGTTATGATCTTCGAAAATCGCTAAATATTTTACCTGATAGACTTAATACTGATCTTGGCCGTAGTTCTTTAGCACACAGAGCAGCAATTACATGGATTCATTACTGGATAATTAAAGACACTTTTCCAATCCAATTGCTTTTAAAAACAGGCTTAAAAGGCAAAAAGCGATGTTGTAAATATAAATTTTGGAAAGGGGGTGGCTCTGTTGTCTATAATAAGAATTCAAATTCCTACTATTTCTGATATATTATGACACATTTATATTTACATTCATTCTGTTTCTTATTTAAGACTTTACTCTTATTTTACATTTACTTATCTTTTATCTTAAAATATAGCAAGTCCACATCAGTTGTAATTTTTCCATTTTTAACCTACTTATTATATAAAGATATGATATGATGGTGATGATGATGAAATTCTTAAATGAAGATAGTGTATTCAGTACGTCTTTGCAGAATGCATTCTGCATACAGGACTTCTGCTCATTTTCCACTGTTTGATTGTTGCTACTTTCGAACTCTTGAATCATCCTGGAGAGGTCAGGACCTGCCACCATCCATCTTCTCAAAGCTGATGGATTATCCGTGAGACCAACTGCGCCTCCTTCCCCTTTTACATTAGCATAACCCTGCTCGTGAGTAGGATGCGCACAAGCAGGAGATGCTCGAGGGTAAGGAGACGCCCCGAGGGTAAGAGCATCCACTCCACCTATGGCGATGGTATCCTATCGAGTACTGAAAGAACGGAGATGAACTTACTTGTGCCTTGCACACATGAAGAGGCAGACACTCGCCGTATAGTCCATGTACTTGATGCCGCCTACGTACGGGGCCAAACCCTCGTTTGTTAACCAGTGCTTCCAAGCCCATCAGACTGGGGGTGGCGGCAGCTCAACAACTCGTGGTCACCAATCTGGACAGCTCTACCGCAAGTAAAGGAATCTTTACACGAACTCATTCGATGTGGATGCAGAGCTCCGTGTAGAGGACGATACAAGTGCTTAAAAGCTAATTTGGCATGCACTACCTTGTGCTACTGTGGCGGCAACTGCCAACTGCCATAAATATTTACAATGGTGTCACTGACGACTAGAGTAGATCGACTAAGAATTAGGCATTACATCAATCGTTTGTTGAATTTTGGTTAGATAAGAGAACATTTCAGGATTTCACCTAAAGCGTCGTTCAGTGCAGCTGAACAATTTCCCACAGGAATCCCAAATCTGTTAACCAAAACTTATTTATAATAGCTGGTGAATTTAATAAAGTAATGTACGAGAACGTCAAATCTAGCAAAGACATAAGCTTTATGTTTCTAAGATAAACAAGTTTTACCAATCCTGATTCAGAAAATAATGTAAACAGGTATATTTAACCTTTAAGGTGGTCTTCCACTCAAAAATTTGTATTTTTTGTCAAAAAACTTTCATTTTGAAAATGGTGCTTTTTGGTATCTTTAACCATTACTCTTTCATTCTACAGCTTCCTTTTTTCCATATTCAGGAGGTAAAGTCAAAAATTTTGCTAAATTCCTTAGCGAGTATGAATTTTCACCTTGGCAACGACCATAGCAACGGTTTGTTTATGAAAACAAAACGCAGTTGCAGTCAAAAGGAAACGACGGAATTTCTCCTGGGACCCCTCCCTGGTTATTCCCGTTGTTTATTGACATTTCAATCAGGCATACATGCAGTGAGTTACGAGCACCCAAAATGGCGGATGATATGTGGCGACACTATTTCCCAACTTATCATCCACCATTTTGGTCGTATTCGTTCACTCTATTCCTATTGCGATTTTGCTTGATAATTTATTTATCAATGCCACCAAAGGCTCGTTCTGGTTACACAAAAAAGCGTAAATATCGTGGAAACCAGTACTCTACTGAATCGAAGCGTTCGAAGAAGGAAAAAACGAGTGTCAGCACCAAAGGTCTTGGGAAAGAATGTTCAGCTTCTGCCCGCAAGATTCCAGCAGGTCTGACCACCGCATCTTCTGAGGGTATCAAGGAGTGTAAGGAGTCAATCATTAGTGGATTTCGGTTTGTAGATATGAGAATTTTGTCTTCTGTGATGGAATGTATGCCATGCAAAGAATGCTTTGTTTGTGATTTAATTTTACAAGAGCAAGCTATGAAACGCAAAGGTTGTGCCTCGAATCTTCGTTTGCTTTGCTGCTCGTGTGGTTGGTCTATGGAATTCTTTACTTCAGCTCAAATAGGCCGTTTCTTTGAAGTAAACAGAAGATTTGTGTATGCTTCAAGATCTGTTGGTTGTGGACGTGCGGCAGGTAAGAGGTTTTGTGGACTTATGAACATGCCGCCACCTCCTAGACCTACACCATATGCTCGCCATAATAAAGAAATACTCCGAGCAGTAAAGAAGATCTCACTGGAGACAATGCGTGATACTGCAAGAGAGATTCACGATATCAAGCCAGGTTCAGATGAGGGCATAGCAAGATGTGGAGTGTCTGTTGATGGAACATGGCAGAGAAGAGGCTTTTCTTCTTTAAATGGCTGTGTGAGTGCTATTAGCATGGATACAGGGAAAGTGGTAGATGTTGAGCCCCTAAGCAAAGTTTGTATCAAGTGCAGGGAGCATGAAAATGATCCTGACACCCCAGAAACTACTGCATGGAGAGCAGACCACAGAGCCTCTTGCAAGGCAAACTTTAAGGGTTCAGCACCAGCTATGGAACCAGAAGGCGCCCTTCGAATGTTTCAAAGGTCAGTAGATCTGCATAAGCTGCAGTATGATGAATATTATGGCGATGGTGACAGCAAAAGTTACTCATTAGTCAAAGATGTATACCAAGTCTATGATATTGAAGTTCAAAAGAAGGAATGTGTTGGCCATGTTCAAAAACGACTGGGAACAGCTTTACGAAAGTTAAAGAAGGAAAAGAAAGGGATGGGTGGGAAAGGCAGGCTGACAGATGCCATGATTGACAGACTGCAAAATTACTATGGAATTGCCATTCGAAGCAACTCAGGTGATCTTGCTGCCATGAAGAAGGCAATTTATGCCAGCTTGTTTCACTGTGCTTCTTCTGCAGACAGTAATTACCATGGGCATTGCCCTGAGGGTCCTGAAAGCTGGTGTGGTTTTCAGCGGGACAAGGTCAATAGGACAAACACTTTCAAACATGGAACTGGCCTACCTTTAGATGTCAGAGAGGAAATCAAACCCATTTATAAAAGGTTGAGTGAGGACAGCCTTCTCAGCAAATGTCTTGATGGCAAGACTCAAAACCAGAATGAGTCACTCAATGGTATGGTTTGGGAGCATGTGCCAAAGGGGGTGTTTGTTGGTTCTGAAGTACTGCAGCTGGGGGTTTATGATGCTGTCGCTCACTTTAATATTGGTTCAAGAGCAGCTATTAAAGTGTTTGAGAGTCTTGGAATTCCCCCAGGTGAATTCTGTATAAATGAATGCCAGCAGTTGGACAAGATTCGTGTTTTGAAAGCTGAATACAAGTTCCAAGAGAAGAACAAGACAAGGAGGAGGCTACTCAGGGGAAAAAGAAAGAAAAAAAATGACAAATCCCAGGAAAAGGAGGGTGACATATATGCACCTGGTGCATTTTAATGAGAACATCAAAGAGCTTAGCTTAAACTTTCCAAAAGGCACCAGTTGCTTTAGTGATTATTTTGATTGATCAACTTAAATCTTTAAACTTGATTTTCTCAGTTTTGCAATTTTGAGAGAGTGCCCGTCACGGCAAAAAAGATTTCTTGAAAAGTATTAAACCAAAAGGGATGAAATTTTCAGGGAGGTTTGCTTGAGTATAGTTCTGTGTTGTGAACCTAAAATTATTAGTGATTTTTAGTTACATGGTTGTTGACAGATGTATCCATGGTGATAATACAAACAAAAATGTTGTAATCAAGGAACAGTTGCAATTTTATAATAGCTTGGCATAAAAAATATGGGTTTTCTGAGGTTCATGACATAAAGCCATCTTTGTACTTAGTTTTGATACCAATTTCAGGTGAATAGGACCGCTAGTTCTTGAGATATCCTTTTTACAAGAACACCATTATTTTCACAGTTGGGGGCCCAAAACTTGGTTACCATGGCAACGACATGTCTATCAAAATTCTTAAAAGTATCAGTTTGAGGTGATCTCTCCAATGGTACTTAAATAACTTAGGTAAAGCATAAACTGAATTGTTATGGTTTTCCAGTGTGTTGTATGTTGTGTGTTACCATATATGGTTTGCTCATGCGCACGCATGAGGCTTCATTAAACAGTCTTTTACTTACCGAACCGCCATGTTGTTTGGGGTGTGTAGTTCTTAAGTAATACATGACAATTTTGGCGACGAGGATTGGGATATTAAGGGACCTTTTTGGCTGCTAAAAGTGAAGACATCCCTAAACTAAATCCACATAACGTCCACGATGGCCAGCGATGCAAATACGGCACCAAATCCAGTTCGTAACATCGGAAAAGTTCAAAAGTTCACTGTGGGAACTGACTTCGAGGCATATACAGAACAGTTAGGATTCTTCTTCGTGGCCAATGGAGTGACCGACGCGAAACAGAAGAAAGCCATCCTGTTAACCAATCTTCCCACTGAAACGTACCAACTGGCGAAAGATTTGATGGCTCCGACCTTGTTAGGAGAAGATTCTCTCACGTACAACGCAATCGTAGAGCGTCTCCGCGAACAATTGAAGCCACAGAAGTCTGCTTTAGTAGCCAGGTATGAGTTTGACAACCGAGCACGTAACGCAGGAGAAACGGTGAGTCAATATGTTGCTGTTTTGAAACATCTAGCTATGGATTGCAAATTTAACGACGCCATGCGTTTGGAAAGGCTTAGAGATAGACTGGTTTCGGGTATTCGAGATAAGAGAATGATGTCAGAGCTTTTGAAACTTAAGCTTGAGGAACTAACATTTGACATTGCTGTTGCAAAGTGCTTAGCTATTGAGCAATCTTACAAGGATGTTGAAGCTCTCCAGGGGAATAAAGCGTCAGAATCAATCGATCTATTAGCCAAATCAAAGCCAGGCAAGAAGCTTAAATTCAAGAGAGAAGCCAAGCTTTCAGAGAAAAAGGGTTCTTTTTCCCCCAAGAGAACGGGTGATCAAAGTTGCTACCGCTGTTTGGGAATTCATGATCACAAAAGTTGTCCATTCAAGAAAGAAAAATGCCACCACTGTAACAAGACTGGTCACATTGTGAGGGCTTGTAAATCAAAGAAAAAAGAGACACAAGTTTCCCAACCCCCAGTAAATTATGTAGACAGCAATGACGGGGACAGCGATGATTATTTGGCATCCCTTGAGGTTAATAATGTGGGTGACAAGGATCACGTAATATGGGTCAACCCCGAAATACAGGGAAAGGTGGTCAAGATGGAACTAGACACAGGGTCAGCGGTGTCTGTACTTCCATACAAACAATATAAGGAACATTTTAATCATGTCAAACTTTCAAAGAGCCTTGTGACACTTAAGACATACACTGGGCAGAAAATCACACCTAAGGGAGAGATGAGATGTAATGTTAAGTTCAAGGGCCAGGAAAAAGAGTTAAACCTACAAGTTGTTGAGACGCAGGGACCAGCACTGTTTGGGCGTGACTGGCTGTCCAACATTCAACTGAACTGGGGTGAAATCAAAACCTTTAAGCTTAGCAAGACTTCAGAAGGGGGTATGGCACGCAAAGTGGATCAGCTACTACAGAAGTACGAGTCTGTATTCTCCGAAAATCTGGGCACACTTAAAGGCTACAAGGCGGATTTGAAGGTCGAGGAAGGCTGCCAGTCCAGCTTTCATAAACCACGCCAAGTGCCATACGCACTCCGCCCCAAAGTAGAAGCAGAATTGACATGCTTAGAGAAGGAAGGTATTCTCTCTAAAGTAGAATACAGTGAATGGGCGACCCCAATTGTCCCGGTAGTCAAGCGAAACGGATTGGTACGAGTTTGTGGCGATTTTAAGGTCTCAGTGAACCCAGTACTTCTTGCAGAACAGTACCCTCTGCCACGTATAGAGGATATTTTTGCAAATTTGGCTGGCGGTAGACATTTCAGCAAGCTTGACCTTCGCCAAGCTTATCACCAGATGGAAGTAACCGAAAGATCCAAGGAACTCCTTACGATTAATACACACAAGGGCCTTTTTCGATACAATCGCTTAGTCTTTGGCATCTCTTCGTCTCCAGCCATTTGGCAGCGTGCCATAGACCAGGTATTACAGGGAATACCTGCAGTGCATCCTTGATGACATGATTGTCACAGGCAAAACCGATGAAGAACATTTGGAGAACCTGGAGAGTGTACTCAAGCGATTACAAGATGCGGGTCTGAAGGCTAACAAGGAGAAGTGCGAGTTCTTCAAAGATAGAGTTCAGTTTTGTGGGCATGAGATCGATAAGGAAGGTCTACACAAGACACAAGAGAAGATTGAAGCAGTGGTCAGTGCACCAAGACCTGAGAATGTGTCACAGCTTCGCTCATTTTTAGGGCTCGTAAACTATTACAACCGTTTCTTGCCCAATGCGTCTACAGTTCTCCACCCACTTCACCAGTTGTTAGAGCAAAACAACGAATGGCAGTGGACTGAACGGTGCGAGCGAGCGTTCACTGAGGCTAAGCGTATGATTACATCTGAGCAGGTGCTAACGCACTATGACCCAGCATTACCGGTTAGGCTGGCATGTGATGCTTCACCAACTGGCATCGGCGCAGTTCTTTCACACGTCATGTCCGATGGTAGCGAAAGGCCGGTAGCTTTTGCGTCCCGATCGTTGACCAAGACTGAACGACGGTATGCACAGATAGACAAGGAGGCATTGTCCATTGTGTGGGGGGTGAAACGATTTCATGTTTACCTCTATGGGAGACGATTTACGCTCATTACAGACCACAAGCCCCTCACTGCCATCTTCCACCCAGAAAAGGGAGTTCCAGCCATGACTGCTGCAAGGCTTCAGCGATATGCATTGTTCTTGTCTGGGTTTGACTATATCATTGAGTATAAGAGTACAACCAAACACTGCAATGCCGATGGACTGTCGCGGCTCCCTCTCCAGCAGAAAGAGCGAGAAGACTTGGAGGTGGATTCAACAGAGGTGTTCCACGCCTCTCAGTTTGTGCCATTACCTATAACCAGTGAAGCAGTGGCAAGAGAAACACGTCGTGACGTTGTCCTAGCGAGGATACATGATTCTATCGTGAAAGGATGGTCTACTCGTGTGGAGGGAGACAAGCCTTATTACGAGCGACGCAATGAACTGACAGTTCACCAAGGCTGCATCCTATGGGGAATGAGAGTGGTAGTTCCCAATAAGTTACAAAGCAGAGTGTTAGAGGAACTTCATGATGGGCATCTGGGCATGGTCAAAATGAAAGCACTCGCGAGGAGCTACGTATGGTGGCCTAATATCAATGGTCATCTGGAAGAGCTAGCGAAAGGCTGCAACGGGTGTCAGCAAAACCAGAAGATGCCTGCTAAAACACCACTACATCCGTGGGAGTGGGCCACTACACCATGGCAGCGTATACACATCGACTACGCAGGGCCATTTCAGAACTCGATGTTCTTAGTGGTTGTCGACGCACACACCAAGTGGCCAGAAGTGGTTCCAGTCAAGTCAACTTCTTCAAGTTCGACTATCGAAATTCTACGCGATTTGTTCGCCAGATTTGGAATTTCAGAACAGATAGTCAGTGACAATGGTACACAGTTTGTTTCTGAGGAATTCCAGACATTTGTCAAGTCCAATGGCATCCGCCATATAACTTCAGCACCGTACCATCCAGTGACGAATGGTCTTGCGGAAAGGACAGTACAAACCTTCAAACAGGCTTTGCGTTCCATGCGTCAAAGCCCCAAGCCAGTGAGGGAGAAGTTGGCGAAGTTTCTCATAGCTTACAGGAACACTCCACACTCCACCACCGGTGAGAGCCCAGCACAGTTACTCCTGGGAAGACCATTGCGTACTCTCCTAGATTTGGTGAAACCTAACTTAAACCGTAAGATGGTTAACCAACAACACCAGCAGAGCATTAAGGCAGCGATTGACAAGGGTAAACAGTATCGCCAGTTAGAGATTGGTGACTCAGTTATGTCACGGGATTATCGAGGGGATCTGAAGTGGCGTCCAGGGCTGATTGTTAACAAAACAGGTCCGCTGATGTATGAGGTACAGGTGGCACCGGGACTGATCTGGCGCCGACATATTGATCAGTTGAGACCAACGGCAGTTGGACACACAGTTGAAAGCACTGACGCCGACTGTAGTGTTGAAGTCAGCCAACCTGAAGTGGCCAACACACCACTGACCCCAATTACATCAAGTACTCCAACCACTGAGGGCGGCACAGCTCCAGGAGGTTCCAAAAAAGATCAACCAAAGATGGTTCCTGTTTCCACACCTACGGTACCTGACCCTCCTGATGCTAAACCAGCTACAGTTAGTCCGATGGTCAAAATGCGACAACACCCTCAGAGAGTTCGCAGGGCACCACAGAGGCTTGATCTCTGAACTTTGTTTTATTCTGTTCGTTTTCTTGTTTAAAGGTCGTTCTTACCTTTCGAACTGTGGTTACCGGACACTGTTGGTTTATTTTATGTTTTCCTTGAAATTGTATTTTAGGGCTTGTTTTGAAAACTAAGGACAGATCGTTTTATGTGTGGAGGAATGTTATGGTTTTCCAGTGTGTTGTATGTTGTGTGTTACCATATATGGTTTGCTCATGCGCACGCATGAGGCTTCATT